CTGGACAGAAGGACTGGCTACTTGCACCTGTAAGGTGACGGTCAGTGTTTTATGATTTGGAGTTTTGGGGATTTTTTTAGGTTGCCTAAAGGTAGATATGTAAATAAAGCTGCTCTGTGTCAAGCAACTTTTATTGAGTAAGCGTTGATCACTGTGGAGGGCTCTGGGGATTTAGTGCTTGATAAAAACATGTCTCTAAGGGCTTAGTCTTTGGAACCGACAATTCCAAAGAGATCACCATTGGCCTTCAGAAATCTTGGTTCTGTTGGTATGTTGAATTAGTGACATGCACAAGAGTGTCATCAGAGCAGACTGACTTTACCTACCTGCGAGTTTGTATCCTGATTTGAAAAGCCTCTTCTAAATAAATATTGTTATTCTTAATTTGTGATAGGAAGAGATTTAAAAAATGAAAGTGATAACTACAAAATTATTGAGATCTAGCCGTTGTGGATCTAATTTTTCTTTCATTCCCAACTGAGGCTCACATGGTAGCCATTCTTGACCTGACCTTCATGACCACTCTCCATAGTCCCATCTACCAGATCCGTTCTATCCTTTCCTACTCTTTCTCCAGTACAAGCCTTCCTCAGAGGCCAGACTAATGGCTTGCCTGCAGATGTCTATGGCTGTTCCTGCCTTTGAGTTTTTTAATACATTTCTCCCCTCATTTAGAAGTCCTCTCCTCCTCTTCTACTTTTTCAAATCCTATCCAAATATCAGGGCCCAAATCCATCTTTACCTGCTCTGCAAAGCCTTTTCCAGTCTTCTGTCCTCAGACTCACATAGCACTTCTTCCTCTACCATGCTGTGGATGATGTGGCTATAGTTCCACCTAATAGTGAAGAGAATGGACTCTGGAGCTAGACTGCCAGGATGACCTTGGGCTGCATCCTTTCCTGGCCTAGAGTTCTTCATCTGTAAAAATAGGAATAGGAATTGCATTTGGCCCATAGTTGTACAGATTAAATGAGTTTATAGGATTAAAGGCTATAGAACAGTACCTGGCCTGTAAGTTCTCATTAAATAGTAGCTGTTGTTATTCTTTCTTTTTGTTGTTTGTTGTTGTTATTCCTTCTAGCATATATTGAATCATGGCCTTCCTTGTGTTGTTTCATCATTTTAGTTATGTATTTCTTGGTTCCTCTCTATTTTTTGGTTCCTAATTGTGAAGTTTTCCCACAAAGAGACTTGATTTTATGGTTTTTGCTTGTTTGTTTTTTGTTTTTTTGAGACAGAGTCTTGCACTTGTTGCCCAGGCTGGAGTGCAGTGTCTTGGCTCACTGCAACCTCCACCTCCCAGGTTCAAGTGATTCTCCTGCCTCAACCTCCGGAGTAGCTGGGATTACAGATGCCCACCACCATGTCTGGCTAATTTTTGTATTTTTAGTAGAGACAGGGTTTCACCATATTGGCCAGGCTGGTCTCAAATTCCTGACTTACGGTGATCCGCCCGCCTCAGCCTCCCAAAGTGCTGGGATTACAGGCATGAGCCACTGTGCCCGGCCGATTTTATAGTTTTTGTTGACCATTTTCAGTACTACATATGCATAGTAGGTCCCCAATACCTGTCACTTAAAATGAAACTATTATTGCAATAAAGAAAATAGATGGAACAAGAGTAAGGAATTGAGGAGAAAAGATAGACTTTATTTTACAGATAGAGTTCTCTTATGATTCTTAGAGCATATAATTTGTTCCTTTTTTCATTGTTGTTGAGTCTCATGAGCTCTTCTACTGCAGTCATCAGAGGTGTGAACATCATTCACCAAGGATGCTAGCAATTTCAGGAGGTTTTTGCAGACAGTTGTCTTCCAGGCCCATGGTGGGACAGACTCTCAGACAGTGGATTCTGATCTATCAAAATATCTCAAGGCAGCAAGTGGTGTAGGGCATGAGCTGGTTGTTTGAACATATTTCCCTTGCTGAGGGTATGGAAAGCCACCAGTAAGAAGGGAGTCTTTAATCTTCAGCCACCCTCTCTGCCATCCCCTTCTCCTTTAGCAGCTCGGATATTCACAAGCACCATTTTCACCTGTCAATATTCACAAACATTTGGGGGAAGTTGAAAGTTACACCCCAGTAGGAAGCGGTAGGGACCCAGGTGGAATCACTCAACAAAATTAACCTAATTGCAGAAAGGAGTCCTTGTGATGGCAGGAACTGCCAGCGGGGTTCTTCCCCTGCTGTTCACCCAGCAGTCCAGGACCCCCGCCAGAGTCCCTCTCATCTCTGTGGGTGTTCTCACCTAGATGAAAATGCTGCATTTCTTCTTCTCCTAGGCTGGAACAAGACATTAAAAAGTTAAAGGCTGACCTGCAAGCCAGCAGACAAGTGGAACAAGAGCTCCGCAGTCAGATCAGCTCCCTTTCGAGCACCGAGCGAGGGATCCGGTCAGAAATGGGCCAGCTTCGGCAGGAGAACGAGCTGCTGCAGAACAAGTACGTGTACCTTTCTGGCCTTTGGCCATAAACCCAGCAGCTTCACTGCTTCTCTTGTTTCCAGGGGTTGGAGCAGAAGATTCGTGGTGACAAAGAGACCTGCTGAGGGGTTTTTAAATAAAATGTTTAAAATACTTTTTTAGTACCAGATATTCAGCATGTTTATAAAATTTATAAAAAAACTTATTTCATTGCCACAAACCAGTTTATTAGTATTAGTATTTTTTTCTTCTCTTATTTAATAACTTTTTAGTCTAAAATAGTTACTGAGTTTTTGGATAGTAAAATTGACAAGAAGTAGTTCTGCCACGGTTTGAAAATTTTGCTCCTTTGAGTGAAAGTTTCTAGAGGATTTGACTATATTTACTTTTATTTCCAAAACTAAAAAATGACATTGAACTTTGACTGATTTTATTTGAAAAGTCAAGGCAAATAGCCCTTCCGTGTGAATTCTTTTAGGCCTTTGATTAGTTCATGCTGGAATTACTTCTTGACTCAATGTGGGTCTGTCCTTTTTTCTTTTTTTAAAATCTCCAAGCAATGTGTGTCTGTGGTAGTGATTATCATTATAGGCTGTTGGCTTTATGGGATTTCCCTATTGAGAGAGAAGCCCAACATTTTTAAGGAATGTAACTCAAGAGCTAGGGCATTACAGGCAAATAACATCTCCATTGCCTCTGTCCAGCATTTGTGGTGGTCTAGCATTGATACATAGAGACCATCCCAATGATAAGCTCACCTCATGCTGATAGGTAAAGCTAGGGGTGGTAATAGGCAGGAAATATGGCTGAAATTTCTATCTGAAATTAAGCATCCTGTGACTCTAAAAGAGGATTTGGGGACACTGTGAGCAAACATCCTGAGCTGGAAAGGAAAGGCTATAGTAGGCCAAAGCAAAACTGTATTCAGGAAAAATTCAAACCTTCCCTTTCCACCCTTTACCTCAGTTTCACTGGAGCTAGTCCCATCAGTGATTCTTTGGTGGGACTGAAGTTCTTTCAATGTGCTCTGAAACCTTAGAATTAGTTATACAATTATCTTCCCCTCTGTTTGAAATTTGTTTTACCCTGTTTTCTGGATTACTTTCTGTAGATCACTTATTTGAACAGAGCAAAGGCTTGGTCTCAATCTCTGTTTTGTAAGGCAGCTTGCTGATTGGTGTTTAGGGATTATTAAAGAATAATGACAGTGTGTTTTCCTCAGGCATTTTGGGAGTTGACGTTTTTGATTTGCTGTTCAAACCTCCTGTTTATTTGGCCTTAAGGTGATAAAGAATTGTGTCTCAAGGGTTTACAGTAGGCATTTCTAATTTTAAGACTTTATATGACGATCATTTCCATTTAGGTTACATAATGCTGTGCAAATGAAGCAAAAAGACAAGCAGAATATCAGCCAGTTGGAGAAAAAGCTAAAAGCTGAGCAGGAAGCCCGAAGTTTTGTAGAAAAACAGTTAATGGAAGAGAAAAAAAGGAAGAAGTTAGAAGAAGCCACTGCTGCCCGGGCTGTTGCATTTGCTGCTGCGTCTAGGTATGTCCATGTCACCTGAGTGTTTAATCCAAGGTTGGCTTTCTTTTACCAACAAAGACATGGGAATTTGATGCCTTGGGCAGGATTAGACATACAGCAATCATGCGTGGATGGATTGTTTTTAAGTGCTGTTTTATTAGCTGGTTTATCTATGCAAGCTTGCACTACCTTATGACAGCTTCATCCCTCAATGACCTCATCTATAAAGTGGGTTGAGAGAATCACCATGCTTCCCATACCTGGGAGGCAAAGTACTGCGCTTAAAAGGGTTTCTAATCACTTTTTGTCAGGCTGATGGTTACTAAATGCGTTGAGAGATTCCATCTGGAAGTTTGTTCCCTTTAGAGAGCTATCATTACTCTCCATTCTTAGGTATATGTGTTTCTGGAGTTTTTATCTTAAAATGGAAGAAAGATAAAATCTTGGTTGCCCAAGCACTGTGTACTGGCTGCTCAAATGGATATCAGCAAACTGTCAAATGAGATGGAAAAAAAAGTGAAACATAAGTGACTACTAGACGACATTAAATTTGTGGCATAATGAAAATTGGGGCCTATCTCCTATACCACTGGAAAGTACCCCTGTGTGCGGGTATTCCAGAGACTATTATGTAACTGCCATTTGGATTCCAGAGAGCTTTTTTTTTTTCCTTTTTGCTTCTACTTCACTTATCATTTTTTCCTTTGTTTTTTTGACTAGTGAAGTCCCTTTGCGTGTGAGTCAGTTAGGTTTTTGCAGATACAGAATGAGGGTAAATTATTATTTCATTTTTAAATTCCATCCTAATTTGTATCTATATGGTATCATTCAACTGTAAATCTTCCTTGAATGTTGCTTTGTTGTAATTAAAGTTAAGTAATTTAACTTTTGGCATGTTGATAGCCTTCTTTGTGGGTTCTGACATTTGCAGAATAACTGGTGAATCATTTCACCTTTTAGGAAATAACAGCAAGTGAGAACTGTCTCCTGTGTGATCCTGCCTTCTCCCAGCAGATGGCTGAGCTGGCTTGGCCCATCAGCATCTATACAGACTTACTAGGCTCTTGACTAGCCTGCCTATGATGTGGGGTTGTTTGTTTGTTTGAGGATGTATTAGCATTTTGAAGCACTTATACTTGCAGGAGATGTTCCCTAACAGTCATCTAGTGATGACTGCTCTCCTGCTCTCCTTAATTCATCTAGCACCTGCCCTTTTGGAAGATTCCACTCCGGAGAACATAGTAGTTCCTTAACCATATTGCTTAGAATCTCCCTCAGAATCAGTAAGTTGGTTTCAGCGTCTACCCCAAATCCCTTTTGCTTCCAGTTAAGCATATTTATCTTATCCATGGACAGTCCTTGTTTGCCATAAATTATTCTTTTTTTCCTTTCTTTTTTGAGACAAGAGTCTCACTCTGTTGCCTAGGCTGGAATGCAGTGGCGTGATCTCAGCCCACTGCAACCTCTGCCTCCCAGGTTCAAGCAATTCTCCTGCCTCAGCCTCCCCAGTAGCTGGGATGAAAGGCACCTGCCACTGTGCCCAGCTAATATTTGTATTTTTAGTAGAGATGGGGGTTTCACCATCTTGGCCAGGCTCGTCTTGAACTCCTGACCTCAGGTGATCCACCCACCTTGGCCTCCCAAAGTGCTGGGATTACAGGTGTGAGCCACCATGCCCAGCCTGCCATAACTTATTCTTAAGTAAATCTTGGCATAAATCTCTGACTGGACCTTCCTTTTTTGGTAGGCAGAGAACACTCACTTTCTTCATTGGGCTGATTCTGGAACCTAGACAGTTCCAACTTTGGACTGGCCATTGCCATCGTCTCTTTTAGCTCAACTTTATGATAGCCCTGAGAAGCAGCTTAATGGTGTGCCTTACTCCAGGAGTATGGCAACTTTATGACAAGAAAGGCAAAGTCCCAATGCATAGCCCCTCCAAAGTGAGGGAACATTTTTTTTCTAGTTCACTGCCCCCTGCTGGAGGTAGTTCATGTTCAGTTCTATTTTGCTTTGTGTGTATTGTCTCATCTCATGGCCTAGTGGAAAGTTGGCTGAATTGGAAAGCCAGAAAACCTCAGTTCCTATCCCCAGTCTGTGACCTAAAAGCTAGGTGACCTTGGACTAGTATTATATCTGTGTAGCCTCAGTTTTCTTATCTGGATGGGATAAATATACCCTAGGTTGTTGTAAGGATTGAAGAAGGTAGTATGGGTGAAGTACCTTAGTGTCTGGCTCATCTAGACACTCAATAATAATTATTGTATATATGTATATATTTTGAGACAGGATATTCTCTCTCTCACCCAGACTGGAGTGCAGTGGTGCAATCACAGCTTACTGTAACCTCAAACCCTTGGGCTCAAGCTATCTTCTTGTCTCAGCCTCCTGAGTAGCTGGGACTGTAGGCATATGCTACTATGCCCAGCTTTTTAAAAATTTTTTATAGAGACAGGTTGCGCAGGCTTATGTCGGACTTCTAGGCTCAATTGATCCTCCCACTTTGGCTTTGGGAGTGCTGGGATTATGGGCATGAGCCACCATGCCCAGCCCAATTATTTTAGAGTATTACTGAAATTATCAAAGGACAGAGAAGTAAGCAGACTGAGCCAAAAGCTAAAACCTGATAGACCCTGGAGTATAAAAGAAATATAAATCTACAATATAAATATAAGTAAACCTATAGTTTTGTTTGTTTGTTTGTTTTGTTTTGTTTTGTTTTGAGAGAGAGAGAGTCTCACTCTGCCACCCAGGCGAAAGTGCAGTGGTGCCATTCATGGCTCACTGCAACCTCCGCCTCCAGGGTTCAGGCAATTCTTCTGCCTCAGCCTCCCAAATAGCTGCTATTATAGGTGCGCGCCACTACACCAGCTAATTTTTGTATTTTTAGTAGAGACGGGGTTTTGCCATGTTGGCCAGGCTGGTCTTGAACTCTTGACCTCAAGTGATCCGCCTGCCTTGGCCTCTCAAAGTATGATGATTACAGGCCTGAGCCATTGCGCCAGCCAACCCGTAGTCTTTTTTTGTTTGTTTGTTTTTGAGATGGAGTCTCACTCTGACGCCTGGGCTGGAGTGCAGTGGCATGATCTGGGCTCACTGCAACCTCCACCTCCCGGGTTCAAGCAATTCTCCTACCTCAGCCTCCCCAGTAGCTGGAACTACAGGTGCACACCACCACGCCTGGCTAATTTTTGGTAGAGACGGGTTTCACCATGTTGGTTGGGCTGGTCTCCAGCTCCTGACCTCAAATGATCCATCCACCTGAGCCTCCCAAAGTGCTGGGATTGCAGGCATGAGCCACAGGCACCTGGCCCCAACCTATAATCTTTCAAATCACTTTATTTCCTTCTCTTCTTTTTCAAAAGGGGGGAATGCACCGAAACCTTACGGAATCGGATCAGAGAACTAGAAGCAGAGGGCAAGAAGCTCACAATGGACATGAAGGTGAAAGAAGATCAAATCAGAGAACTTGAACTGAAAGTCCAGGTAATGGGTGAACAAAAGACTTCCCTTCTACTTCAAATCCACTTTTATGCTAGACTTGTGCTCTGTGTTGCAGTGTAGAGATGATGCCCTTTAATACAGGTCAGATCTCATTGCATCTGAAAAATCTCTATGTGACAAAAAGATTTGAAGTTCTAATCTTGTCCAGCTCATTTCAAGTCTTATTAATGTAGCCAGATTCTAATACAAGCCAGAAATGTTGATGGTGCCTTATATATTTTATACCAGGATTTAACTTGCTGTAGATTTATTTAACCTTTTCAGGTTCCAGGCCATATTGGTGTCCTTTGGAACTTACACACCTCCTTTTAGCCTCAGCCCTCTGTCTGTTGCCAGGGGATTGACTCTCCTGCATGGCTCTGAGCCTTGCAGATTGTTGTTCACAGCAGTATATGATGGGGAAAGGTGCTAGTGCTATGGACATAGCCTGTTTTATGGGCTGTGTATACGTCAGCCCAAGTATTTTTCATTTAAACTAATGTCACGCATTATAAAGTTACAATAATTTGAGCCATGTGGGACAACTAAAAAATTACTGTCAAGTCAGTGGACTAGAATGATGACCTGGAGTACAGTACCGAAAAGAAAATACCAAGAAAAGTAAAAGTGGCACCAGAGATAGATGGGAAAGGTGAGGATTAGTCAGTAAAAGGCTTTTGAATAGCTAAATAACTGGAGGGAAAAAAAATAGACACTCATCTTATACCACATATAAAGAAATTCCAGATGAAGAGTTGAAGGCAGAAAAAAAAAGAATAAATGATTTTTCTAAAAGCCAGTGAAAATATATTTGACCTTGAAACAAGGGAAAGACTTTCTAAATGTAAAAGCAATGGGAAAAAAATCACAAAACAAAAATAATAATAAATGAAAAAAATCAATTGGGGAAGGTACAAATATTGCAACAAATATTATAAGTAAGGAATTAATATTCTCAACATACACATAGTTCATAAAAGTTGCTAAGAAAAGCTCAAATATATAGAAAAATAGGCTGAGGATGTGAACAAATAATTCAGAGGAAATACAAGTGACTGATGAGATCATAAAAATATGAACTCATCAGTCATCAAAGACATGCAGATTAAAATTAGATACCATTTTTCTCCTATGAAATTAGCAAATAATTTTTAAATGAGAATATCAGTCGTGGTGAGGATGCAACAAAATAGGTCTCACACATTGCTGGTGGAATGTAACTTTCTGGGAAAGATCTTGCACTTTTTAAGTATTTCCCTTTTTTAGGAATCCAGCCTAAGGTAAATTAATATTTTAAAATCTCACCAATGAGTGATGTACAAAGATATTCATTGTAGTGGCATAAAAATACAAAAAAATTGAAACAGTCTTAAGAGTAAGAGAGTCATTTAAATTTTGGTATGTAAACATTCAAGAATATTGTGCAGCCAATAAAAATTTTGTTTTCAAACAATAGTTGATATAATTTAGTTTTTAAAAGACTGTATAAAACTGTACATGTAATATTTCACTTATGCTAAAAGATACACATACGCATAAAAGATTAAAAGAAATATTAAATTTTTTAGTGTTGGTATTATGACTAATTTTCATTTTCTTCTTTGAATTTTTCTATATTTCTAAATTCTCTGTAATAAGTTTGGATTTTTCTGTTAAAAAGTAAAAATTCAAATATCTGTATATATTTATTGGCTACATTAAAGTGGGCTTATTCTGCAGTATGCTCTGTCAAAATAATTAACATTTTTACAATTTTTAGTGCAGGTTGAGAGAAGAGTTTTGGCAAGTTTGATTATAGCATTATAATAATTTGCACGTAGTCAGCAAGGAAAAAATTTCTCCATGGTTCTGAATTAGGCTTGTAAGAAAAGTGTTTTATTTGGAAGCAGATTCCATTATCTAGACACATGCTCAACACAGTGAAATGATTATCTACTAAATGTTTTTGTATGTGCATATTGCCGTATAAACACATTTAGCACTTGCCTAAACCCCTGAAACACCAGAATTTTGTGTTCTAGTGGCCAGACCAAGAATAGTGGGATTTAATTTGTGATTTCAGGCTAATTTATAGACATCGATGCCAAAACTACCTTGTAGCATTGCTGTTTTGATGATATTGATAGGAGCTTCGGAAATATAAGGAAAATGAGAAGGACACTGAGGTGTTAATGTCAGCCCTCTCAGCCATGCAAGACAAAACACAGCACCTGGAGAACAGCCTAAGTGCAGAGACGAGAATCAAGCTGGACCTGTTCTCCGCACTGGGTGATGCAAAACGGCAGCTCGAGATTGCCCAAGGTAGGAGAGCATGGACCCCTGGTGAGGGGGTGTGACTGATAGTACACGGGGATGCACAGGCCAGACCTCTCCTGAGAGCTCTCAACCAAGGGTCATTTCAGTTTTCTCTCCAAGTGTCTTGGTAAGTGCCCAACATTGAAATATAGGAATCATCACATTAATTCATTTGTAGGCATATTTTGAGATGAGAACATGTCAAGTGCAGGGTATACAGAGAATAGTATGATTTCTATGTTCAAGGGGCTCACAGTGTAGTTGAAGAAGTAGAGAACTGCAGAAGCATCAAAAGGTGCTTGTATAGAATTATATGTGGGGTCTGTGGGAAATAGAGGCAGGGACTAAACTAGTCTCGGGAGTTGGAGAGGGCCCTTTCCGAGGGAAGCTGATGTGTGAGCTGGGGCCTGAATGGTGAGGAGTTGGCCCAGTGAAGAAGCAGTGTGGCGGAGAGTGAGGGGTGGAGAGGCGTCCAACAGAAGAAACAGCTTGGGCAAGGGCTGGGAGCTAGTGGGACTTGATGTGTTCCAAGCTGCAGCTGGCTGGCTTGCCTGGAGCAAAGGTTACGAGTGAGGGAGCAGCAGGGGAGAGTCTGGAGAGTAGGCATGGTCATCCACTTGGCCAGTACTAACTGATAACCTACTTTGTGCTAAGCACTGTAAGATTCCTTGAGAATACAGGCCTGGCGAGAACAGGTGGTGAACAAGCCAGCACGGAGTATGTCAGGTGGCAGTAGGTGCAGTGATGGAAACAAAGCCATGGCAAGGCAGAATGTATATGGCAGGGGGCTCCCTTTTTAACGTGGCAGTTATGGAAAATCCCTTGAGTAGGTAGTATTAGTGCAGAGACCCAAAGGAAGAGAGCAGGAGTGAGTCATGTAAAGAGCTGGAGGCAAGCACTTCCAGGGAGGTGGCAGCAAGTGAAAAGCCATACAGGGGAACGTGGGTGCCATGCTGGGGGGTGGGGGGGGTTGTAGCCTGTGTGATGATGGGGAGAGTTGTCATAGCAGGCAGGAGTAGCAGCAGCCAGATTGTGTGGGACTTGGAAAGAACTTAGGACTTTACCGTGAGTGGCATAGGGGAGTACTGGAAGGCTTCTGAATAGAGGCATGGCATGACCTGAGGAAAATAAATTTGGATTTTTGTCCAAGAAATTGATTAGCTGTCTAATCAGAGTACTAAATTGAGTATAGTCTGAAAAAAATAGAGTATAGAGTACTGCATAAAATAGAGTACTGAAAAGAATTTTCAAATGGTTGACTTAGTGGAAGGAAAGGAATATTTCAAGCAAGGCATGGTGCTTTGTGTTGGTGCCTGCCCATAGTCCCAGCTGCTCAGGAGGCTGGGGCAGGAGGATCACCTGAGGCCAGGAATTTGAGACTAGCCTGGGCAACATAGCAAGACCCCAACTCTAAAATAAGAATATTTCAGCAGGGACTGACAGAGTAGTCACAAAGCATTGTCATAGAAGCTTTGGGGGAGACAGAGTTGAATACAACATGGTGTGTGGACTTTTCTCTTATGGACCCCTTTACACTCTTAAAATTATTACCCCAAGGAGGTTTATTTTGAGTGGATTATATCAATATTTACCTACTAGAAATTAAAACTTAAAACATTTATTTATTTAGTTATTTTTGAGATGGGGTCTTGCTTTGTCACCCAGGCTGGAGTGCAGTGGCACAATCTCAACTCACTGCAGACTCTACCTCCTGTGCTCAAGTGATTGTCTCTCCTCAGCCTCCCTAGTGGCTGTGACTATAGGCATGTGCCACCATGCCCAGCTAATTTTTTTTTCTAGAGACAAGGTCTCACTTTGTTGTCCAGGCTGATCTCGAACTCCTGGGATCAAGAGATCCTCCTACCTCAGCTTCCCAAAGTGTTGGAATTACAGGCATGGGCCACTATGCTCAGCTAAATTAATTTATTAATTCATTTTAAAATAACATACAAATATATTACGTTAATATAAGTAACTTTTTAATTTAAAACTATATTTTCCAAAACAAAAAAAATTTAGTGAAAAAAGTGGCATTATTTTACATTTAGCAGATCTCTTTAATGTCTGGTTTAATAGAAGATAGTTTAATTCTCATCTCTGTTTCTACATTCATTCTGTTGTGATTTCATACTCCACCTAGTTTCTAGAAGACTCCACTTACACTTGTGACAGAATGAGCATGAAGAAGAGAAATAATGTCTCAGTACTATTATGAAGGTAGTTTTTAGAATGTACTTGGAGAATTGCTGAACTAGGGTGAGCTCAGCAGAAAAGTAGAGGTACGAGGTAGTGGCAGAGGGCTAGAAAGGCCAGAGGAGAGATAGGGAAGGCCTTGTGAAGGAGGGGGCATTGAGTGGGCTTTGAGGATGAATTTCAAGAGCAGAGAATCGCAGAGAAGAACATAATGCCTGAGCAAGTAGTGTAAGCAAAGGAAGGAAGGTGCTGGTTTATTCAGGTTAGCAGTCCACAGCCTTAAGCTGGGGGCAAGCAAGGAAAGAGTAGGAGGTTAGGAGACCATGAATGAAGCCATACTAGAGAGGGTATTCCCTAGATTATCCTGAGGGAAGAAGGAGGTGACACAGTCAGGCTGTTATGTGGGAAATCTCCCACCCATAGCAATGTAAAAGACAGATGGAAGGAGTGAGACTGAGTGGAGACAGACTGTGAGGAAGCTACCAGCATCCTCTAAGAGATGCTAAGTATGGGGAGGGCAGACGGGCCAGATGCTAAGTATAGGGAGGGCAGACAGGCCAGACAGGTGAGTGGAGGAGACTGGAGCAGTCTGAGAGTTCTGGAAGGACAAAGTTGTTGGAACCAAGGAAGAAGAGCAGATTTAAGGAGTGAAGGAAGATTAAGTCTGGTTTTGGATGTTATGATTTGGAGGTACTCCGCAGAAACCCAAGCAGGAAATATTCCTCAGTCAGTGGGAACTTTGGGCCTAAACCAAAGACGGAAGCCCAAACCCCTGGGAGTAAGGGGTTGGATTTAGAAGTTGTGAGAAGTTAGTGAAGCTCAGGAGGGCTTGGGATTGCACAGGTGATTGAGCAAGAGAAGGAGTTTTGAGAGTCACACTGCTTTAATCTGTGGACTCAAAGAAAAGCACTTAAGAAGAAGGTTCCCAGGAATCCTGCTTTGAAACTGAGCTTCTGACCTTACACTAACTTTTTTTTTTGCCTGCCTGACTTAGCTCCCTGAGGAGTGGCCACCCCTCCCTGCTTCAACCCTGTCTACTTGGTTTTGCAAACTTGGAAAAGATTCCCCCTGGTGTGAAGCAGCACCTGGCCTCAGAGTAGCCAGAGGATCTTGGCTTCCCAGCTCAGACTGTGTGCTCTGCTGTTAGGTCAGAAATCCTCATAAAGTGACAAAGAAGCAAAAATAATCTTTTCCAAAGTACTGGGGATGTTTAAATGTTACCGATTAAAGAAATCAAACTTAAATCTGCAGGGGAAAAGATGCAGTGGCTCATATATCAGATGCTTTTAAGGTATTTTATTCATCTAAGGCTTATTTTCTTCAAAGAGAAGGTGGGTATTTGATGCTTCCTTGAAGTTTAAGGGACATGAAGGGAGTTGGGGGCAGTTCCTTTCTACTGTTCTCATTTAGGGGACATGAAGAGAGTGGGGGGCAGTTCTTTCTACTGTTCACTTAGGGGACATGGAGGGAGTCAGGGGCAATTCCTTTCTACTGCTCTCACTTAGGGGACATGGAGGGAGT